AGGCAGGTGAACATCACAGAATGCCGGGTATTAGAACAACATGTTCCTGCATTGAGGGAGTACTTGAGTAGAAGCCCAATGTCCGGTAGATCACTATTTCAACCCTCCATTTCTACCATTTGATCCCTCTGCTCTTTTAAAGCATTGTCTAATTCTGTTACCTTTGTATACATCTTTTGGATTTCTATGGTATTTGTTTTTTTGGTGTTGTTTTATAAAGTATGCTTATTTTCCTATTTTATCCACAGCTCTCTCTCTCTTTCTCTCTCTCTCTCTCTTTCTCCATCTGTTGAAAATATCCAAATATTATTTTTCTGGTAATTCCAAAACCTTTATTCTTCAGAAAATTCTATTGGAACTGTGTATTATTCACTTGCATATACTTATTTTTCTTGTTTTTCATGGGAGCATATATTGACTGCTATTTACACATTGTGAGGCAGCTCTTAGGAATGGGAAGGAGGCAGGGTTATTTGAGGTAGTTGAGTCTATCAAGTGGTGCAGAAAAGAGAAAGAAATTACAAAACAAAAAGGATAAGAGAAGACAAGTAAAAATAAAAATATATAAAAAGAGAGAAAAGGAAAATCTTTTTTTTTTTAAAGCTATGGATTTTTTTAAAAAGTGCTTTTCACGTGTAAGAACCCTGCTTAAAGTGGCAGAGGCTGAGACCAGAGCCTCAAACCTGGAGACCATGGGGCAGAGCAAAGGAGCCCCAGGAGATAGCAGAGAGGCTGTGCCCCTGAACCCTGAGACCACGAGACAAGGTGGTGGAACAGCCAGCAGGCTTCCTGGCTCACAAAGGTAGAAACCAAAAGATCACATAGCTGGACCAGAGAGAGAGATTTGACTACTGACCTAGGAGAGGTGTTGCTGTGGACCAATAACTGTATCCTTACTGTTTATTAATCTTGATTTGTAACCGGTAAACTTCCCTAATAAAGCCCCATCATTGAAGAGGGTTGGGGGAGTGCTTTTGATTGGATTATTCCTACCACATATAGCTTTGCAGCTGGCATTGCCAAGTGTACAAGCAAGCCTCAGAAAGAAGGGGTGGGATGCTAGAGTAGGTGCATCATGTACACCAGCCGAGTATACAGGCCTGTGGCTGCTAGAGTACACGAGTGAGCCAGAGCCTCTGTGGCAAGCACATGCAACATTGGTAGCCAATAGTAGGGAATGCAGCCAGCAGGAGAGAGCAAGGGGTGCCTTGTGGGTGGCTGTTCCTTCTTCCCCTTGTTCTCAGTCTCTTCTAAGTAGAGATGATGGTCCAGTTAGCTTTTGTTTTCCAAGTTTCCAGACTTCCAGTGTATGTTTCTCCTGAATTCTTTTCCTGTTGTTTCCCATGCCTTTTCCTCATCAGGAAATTCTCATAGGCCTACATATTGGTCACTTATTTATGTCAGCTTTTCTTTCTTCATCATGTAGTTTGAGATTGACTGTTGTCTCTGAGACATCATGATGCAACTATTTGGGGTGTATTGATGAGTCATTGGGGAGTATGGTGTCTCAGGCAAGTCCAGGAGGTCAAAGTCTCTCCGGGCTCTGTTGCTGGAGCCATGTGGTTGGTGCTAGCCTCTGACATCTGGAGTGCATGATGGTTTAGGCACCAGGGCAGTAGTTTCCTGTCCTTTTCAGATACTGATTTCTGCCTGGAATCCTTTCAGGAGTAGAGATGAGGTAGGCTGGATGTTGGATGCAGGATGCTCTTGTTCTCCACCAACATTAGATGTTGAGGGAAGACACCTAGGATGAACAAAGTTCCCACCTGCTGCGTCAGATGCTTCTCTTTTCTTTCCAAATAGACTTTGCTTTCTACTTGCTATTTTGTTGCCCATGAATCTGCTCTTGGTTCAGCAGGTGGGAACTTGAGTGAGTTGCAGCTGAATGAGCTTTCTAGGGGGTTTTATTGGGTGTGGGGGAAACTATTGCTTTTCAACCTAGCTTCCATCTAGGTCTACATACTTCTGAAGGCACTGTTTCTATCTCTAACCTTTCCCCTCTTTCATTTATACCACATTTTTAAGGCAGTTTTGGTATCCTTGAGTGATACAAATATGTTCCTTTTAAGTTTTCTTTGAGTTTAGGGAACAAAATTAAGTCTGAAGGGCAAGATCAGGGTTTTAGGTGGGTGGGGTAAGATTTCCCAGAGAAAATTCTCCTAGAATAGCCCTTGCTAGCCTCTAAGAATGAGCAGGTGCTCATTGTGATGGGGGAAAAATTCTCCAGTGCAACTGCCTTGGCCTTTTATCCCCGTGTATTTTTTCCGATTTATTAAAATGCCTTCCTAATAAATCCTTATGATTGTCCTGAGTCTATAAAATATTTCTGAAGGTGTGAGATCTTTGTGAGATCCAAAATATAGTGTCATAACCTTCTGAACTGACCTCTCTGCCTTGGATTTAAATAACCCAGCTGATTCCCCCAGAAACCACTGTTTTTTGTTGTTTGGACTTTGCTGTCTGAATCATATTGATAAATCAAAGACTCATCTCCAGTTATGATTTACCCCATAAAATCATCTTCACTAGCTTCAATCTTGCTTAAAAGACTGATGAAAAGATGATATTTTTGAGCGAGCTGACCTTTGCACAATGTTTTGGCATCCATCAAGCTGAAAACTTGCTGGAGCAAAGATGTTCACTTAAAATTGAAAATGCCAAAACACATGAGAATCTCAACTTCAATAGCTAATGCATAAATGGTAATTCTGTGATCTCCTCCTATCATTTTCTAGACTTTCAGTTCATCGAAGTTGACTCATCTTTGAAGTTTTCTGACCTTCCTTAAAACACTTCAGCCATCTAAAAAACTATCGTTTGATTCCTATAAATTTACTACAAAGCCTCAATAATTTGGGAAAATGTCCACTTAAGCTTTGTTTAAAATTTTTTTTGGCTCTGACCTCAGAATCTTCCCCCATCCCCATGGCACCAAAACTATCCTTTTTTGAAGGCTTCATAGCAAGACTAAGGCAAGTGTATTACTTAGAGAACTTGCCTGCAGTTGCCAAGTTTAAACATGTGTTTAACTTGGCTTCAAGCTTTGTGTGTGTGTGACCTGGAACCCGAGCAGCAATGCTTTTTGACTTATCTGCATATGGATGCTTATGCTAGTTTCTTTAAGCTATAGGAAATGGGCTAATACCTGTCACTGATCACTGATACAGTGGGAAGAAATTCCCATTTCCATGCTTGTTTCCCATTGTTATTCTTACAGAAGGTTATACAGAATATCAATAGTCTGTTTTTAAAGAAATACTAAATATGTTTGACAGATTATGCATATACATGTACATAAAGTGAATAAAAACTCACTGCCATCAAGTCTATTCCAATTCATAACTGCCCTATAAAATTTCCAAGGATATAAATCTTTGCAGAAGCAAAATTTCACATCTTTATCCTACAAAGCAGTTGGTAATCTCAGCCTACTGACTTTTCATTCAGCAGCCAAGTATTTAACCACTGTGCCACCAGGGTTCATACAATAGATCATTTGAAATGTCTAGTAAATAACCAAATTTAAGCCATACTATATATCACACTGTAAATCTCATGAGGACCCCTGGTGGCATAGTGGTTACCAGTTGGGCAGCTAACCACAAGGTCAGCAATTCTAAACCACCAGCCACTCCACGGAAGAAAGTAGAGGCTTTAAGAGGCTTTCTACTCCCATAAAGAGTAAGTCTCAGAAACCCACAGGGGCAATTCTACCCAAAACTATAGGTCAGCTTTGTGTCAGCATAGACTGCATGGCAGTGACTTTGGTTTGGAGTTTGGTATATCTCATAAGTTGTGTTGGTGGTATTGCAGAATAAGTATTGGGTTGCTAACCAAGTTCGGCAGTTCAGACCCACCAGTGGCTCTACACTAGAGCAATAAGGCTGCCTGCTCTGGAAATGACTTGAAGTCTCAGAAACCTTATGTAGGGTTGCTCCGAGTCAGAATTTACTTGATGCTAGTGGGTTTGGTCTGAGGGCATATCTCCAGAGCATGCTGAATGGCTTTTCTGCCAGGATTCTGCAAACAAGTTAGGACTTTATTTGGAATACCAAAGAAATGTTTAAAAATAAGAGAGGTAGTCATAGAAGGTAAGCTTTAACATTTCATTTTTAGATGAAATATTATTCAGCCAAGAGCACAAATTATTTGTAATGAAATTAGTAATAGATTCCTTTTCTACATTTCAAAATTTTTATCTTCAGACTGATAGCCCCTTACTTTAGATAAAGGGTAAATTGCAACTGATTTTTTTTTCAGTTGTGCTTAGCCTGGACATTCTAAATCGACTGAAATGAAATATGATGAAAAGTTCATATTGATTGTGAGGTTTGCTGTTTGTTTGTTTTTAAGTAGAAGTTTGTATTCTTGTAGACATACCTATTGACATTCACTGTTCATTGAAAATAGATCAATTGCTGCCAAGTGTTCTTTTTGGGTTACTTAAATTATACTTAAAATATATAATAAATCAATAATGAATCTATCCTAAGAACAATACAGAGAGAAAGATCAATTTTTATTTACAAATTTTAATTGCAGTTTCTCATACTTGATATATACAATAGAAGATTATATCGGGAAGAAAGAGGAGTTGATATCAATGGGCTCAAGAAGAAAGATAATGTTTTGAAATTGTTGACTCCAACATTTGTACATGATCACTCGATATAATGGATGTATGGATTGTTATATGTAAGAACCCCCAATAAAATGATTTAACTTTTAAAAAAGATTATATCACAGTCTTATGTTGAGACTTCAAAAAGTTGGTGGGAAAAGTCCATTATTCCTTAATTCCATTTTTCCACGAATTTTTTTAAGCCCCCTTGTATATCAATTAGATACTTTCTGAGTTGGCATCTTTCAGTTTTACTGAAAAAAAGTTCTTGAGAAATTAGGGGACAGAAGGCAGTTATTAGGCAATGACCGTATAATAATCACAACTCTGGTTCTTGCTACTACTCATAAGTATTTGCATTCTCGTCTTTCTTTTATAGGTGGTTGCCTATCACTATTGCCAAGCAGATAATGCCTATACCTGCCTGGTACCAGAGTTTGTCCACAATGTTGCTGCCTTGCTCTGCCGCTCACCTCAGCTTACAGCCTATCGGGAGCAACTTCTTCGGGAACCTCACCTGCAGAGCATGCTGAGCCTTCGGTCCTGTGTTCAAGACCCTATGGCCTCCTTCCGCAGGGGAGTCCTGGAGCCTCTGGAGAATCTCCACAAAGGTATAATTGAGGTGCAAAGGAAATGAAGGGTAGAGATTTGGGAAGTCAAGGTCACCTAGGGCATACTATAGAAAATCTATCACATTGACAAGCCAAATGTTCTATAACTGATATACTACAGTTAAAGAAAAGGAAAATTTATTTGAGGTAGAAAAAAATCAAAATCTTGTCAAAACTGCTTCCTGCTTTCTTTATAAAAAATACTCATCTCATTTCCAAATATAATACATTTTCCTTATACTAAAGCTAGTAGAACTTCTAGTCCTTTCTCTCGAGTTCCAATAAAATAGTAAAGGTATGGCTTCCTACTCTGTTATGGAGTTTCTATGATCAGAAACCTCTCTTTGATATTTTGTATTACTCTCAGTTTAAGTAAAATGAAATGTCAACCATGGTTCCACAACTCATGCATACATTAAAAACTACTGAATTATATACTTCTAGAGTGTGAATGTTATTGTACATAAATTATATCACAACAAAGCTGTTATTTTTAAAAATAAGGGGGCAATGAAATGACATCCATCTTACTGCCGTGCTCATTCCTTCCTTCACTCTCTGTTCAGTAAGTGCAGCCATCGCCTCAGAGATGGTGCATGCCGTATCAGTCTCCCTGCCCCCTCTCCGTCACTGTTTTGTCAGAACTAGAAACAAAAGAAGATTTTTGTAACTTCAGATTCTTGAGCACTCCTGTTTATTCCTGAGAGACTTACATGCCTTTCTAAAGGTTTTCAGAGCTACTTTTAGGTGGGAAAAAATGATAGTTTTCCAGTCTCCTAGTTACTATCTTTAGTGATTTCAACGTCTCCATTGGTTTCTTGGATATCAGTTTCTTTTTCCTCTCAATTCTGATTACTTCTGTTCAACTTATGTTCCCTCTAAAAAAGGCTCCTCTAAAAAGGCTGGAATTTCTTCAGAAATATTTTAAAGCATATTTTCTGTGCATTTAGTCAGTCTCTAGATCATGTTAATTCTGCCTTCTTATACATTTATTCATCTCAAATTCATTTCTACCATTGTCACCCTGCTGTTCAACTGCCTAGGACTTCACATCTGTGTTAACACCCCGTCCTGGTCTTATCTGCTTCTCTAGTGCTTTTCCTGCATCATAACAGCACTCTTTGTAAATTATGAATTTGTATGGCACACTGAGATAAAAAAAATCAGACTCTTCATGACTAGACATGATCAACCCTGAGCCTATAGCTATGCCAAATCCTAAGGGCTGAAGGATTCATTTTTAAGCATACTTCTAGCCCATTCAGACATCATGTTTGGTAAAGTAGAGGAATGGTGAAAAAAAGGAAGGCCTTCAATGAAATGGATTGTCACAGTGGCTGTGACAGTGAGTTCAAGCATAGGAACAGCAGTGAGGATGGCGCAGGTGAGGCAGTGTTTTGTGCATAGATAGGGTCGCCGTGGGTCAGAACTGACTCGATAGCACCTAACACCAACTAGCCCATTCATAGCAGACCCAGTCTTCTCATCTTCAGGGTTGTATGTACTGTTTACACATAAACCTTCAATCATTGCTCGGCTAAATTAATTTCTCTCTTAAAAAAAAAATTCCACTATTGCGTACTGAAGTACACTCCAGCTCCTTAATCAAGGTGATTGGTGTTCTAGATCCAGCCTACTTCCCAGCTTATTACCCTGTATAAACCCCAAGTTTACATACAAACTGAACTATTCACTAATCCTTTAACATTCCCCTACATTTTCCTACCTGCAAAAATTCACTCACCATTTTTTATTTTTTTGGAATCACCTTTTCTCACATCTGCCTGGCAGAATTCCACCTATCTTTCAAGGATCGGCTTAAGTATATGCAGATCCACCTTTTTCTGTTTGATGTAACATTAGATAACTTAAACCATTAACATTTTTAGTGTCGTCAAAAAACATGTAGTACTTAAAAATAAAGTTAACAAAAGATGTGTAGGACCCCCCTCTCACATCTTGCAAAGAGCTTTAAAACATCGCACTGTGAAATTAAAGAAGATAAAAATATGCCATCTTTGTAAATTGTAAGATTCAGTATTGGTAAGATGTTAATGTTTCCTACAAATTTATAAATTAAGCATAATCCTAATTAAAATTTTAACAGGTTTTGGGATTTTTTTTTAACATTGACAAATTTTGTAGATATTCAAAGGACTGAGAATAGCTAGAATAATCTTAAAAAGGAAGAGAAATTGAAGGCCTGCCATGCTTAGTTTCAAGAAAATATAAAGCTATAGTAACCCTGATAGGCTGTATTGTGCTATTAAATTTTCAAGGGGAAGAAGGGGCCAATTTCATTGTTGATATATTCTATGTCTTTATAATAAATTGTGTGCCTCAAGCTTCTGTAAAAAGATGTAAGAAAGGCCTTTTCTAATTTTTTTCCCAAACAAATATACTAAAAAGCCCAATAGAAACTTACCCATTTGGTAATCTTTATGCAATGTGTTTTCTATCTCAGAGAGAAAAATCCCAGATGAAGATTTCATCATCTTAATTGATGGATTAAATGAAGCAGAATTTCACAAACCAGATTATGGAGATACAATTGTATCATTTCTGAGTAAAATGATTGGAAAATTTCCATCTTGGCTCAAACTAATTGTAACAGTTAGGACCAGTTTACAGGTATGTGTTGTTTATGTACCATATAAATTTCCTTTGCACAGAGCTTACCCTGAAAATTCTATTTATTTTAATGATAATATCTCTTTTCAAACCTCTACAATTTCCTTGAGTATTGGTGATAACGAGCTTATTTTGAGACTAAGAGTTTGGCCTAGACCCTCTTTGGGGGTTGAACTACCCTTTCACGGGTCGCCTAAGACCATTGGAAAACAGTTATTTCCAATGGTCTTAGGAACCAAGACACTACTCCTCTATCAGGATCCACGGGGGGGAGGCGGGGGTGTCCGCCCACATGCAGATACACCCACATACGAGTACCCGGTGTGAAGATTGTTACCCATGCTACACCATGCTTCAAGACAAAATTTCACTTAGTTATTAGAAATAAATATTTCACAATATATAATTACATACTGTTTTTGTAATTAATCACTATGCTTTAATTATGTTCAATTTGTAACAATGAAAATACATCCTGCATATCAGATATTTACTTGATGATTCATAACAGTAGCAAAATTACAGTTATGATGTCAATGAAAATAATTTTATGGTTGGAGGTCATCACAACATGAGGAACTGTATTAAAGGGTTGCAGCATTAGGAAGGTTGAGAACCACTGGCCTAGATAGAGTATTCTCTGCATATGACTCGCTTAGCACTGATTCCCAGTCCCTTTGTTCTGCCTAAGTTTTAATTACGTGTCCCTCAAAAATAACAGGAATAGAAAGCTCCGTTTCCTAGACCTTGTGCTGAGGACAGCAGTGCAAAGTGAGTTCTCTAACACTGTAATTTATTCTTTCACTTTTTAATTTCATGTTTTCCTTTGTTTATTGCTCTACAATATCGTTCCTGCTGTAATCTAGGATAAATTTTTCTTATTTCTCCCCTTCTACTTGGACAACTTTCCTATAGCATGAAGGTGGATTTATTCCTGTGTATACTTTCCTTTATGAATTATTGCCCTTATTAGGGTTTTGAATTAAATTTTAAGGATTCCTGGGTGGCATAATGGTTAATGTTCTTGGCTGCTACTGTTAGATCTCTCTGGATCTAGATATACCTCGGTCCTTGGCTCCACGTGAGAAAGAATTCACGCCGAAGCCTGGTTCGTGATCCAAATGAGTTTTATGAGAGAAGAAGTTTCAGGTTTACACGGCACCTGAGGGGATCCTCCCGAGCGTACAGCTTGTCTGGAAGCTGCTTGGCATCACGCAAAAAGTGTCCCAAAGTTCCTCCAAAGTTCTTCTACTCGACTCCGGGCTCCTGCCTTTTCAAGGATTCCACGGGGAGGTGTGGTGGACAACCCCTGATCTACCCCATTAGCTGAATTGAATTCACCTGGCCTAGGTGGGCCAATTTAGGTTCATGCCCACCCATGCCTGCCTGCGGGAAACCTGAGCCTCTGTGCATGTGCAGTGCGCTACTCCTTTGTTCCTGTAGCTTGGCCCTCTGGGCATGCGTTAATGGACGGACATTCCCCAGCCGTACACTAGCCTACCTAACATTCCCCCCCTGAAGAGATATGGAGCCAAATCTTTGGGGTACTAGACGACATCTCTAGCTACTTCCTGCTGGCAAAGTGGGGGAAGTGGGGTTTTGGGTCCATACCCTTCCTACTCTGTTAGAAGGGGTTGTCCATTTAGGGCCCAGGATGGATAAGGTCGAGGTGGGTCCAGGAGACAGTGGTCCTGGAGCTGGCACACTTGGTTCAGAGGCCTTGGTAACCTGAGAACTTTTGGAAAAAACAAACAGGTGAACAGTTTAAGTGAGACAAGGGTAAGATTGTAAAGTGGCAGTGCCCTGGAAGTTAGGTTAGTGTCACAGGAAATCAATAGAAATTTTGGGACTAACAGGCATGAGAGTTTGGTTCCTGTCAACACAGGAACGGGGTAAAGGCATTCACTGGCCTAAAGGCTGTGAGGGGTCTGAGGTAGAGTCGTCTGTGTAGCCCTCATCTGTCCTGGGGTGGCGATGAAATACCATCCTAAGCCCGTCCAGCGGCTCACAGGAGTATTTGTTTACAGCCTCTGCCTCGGATGGGTCCTATGGTGACGGTTTCCAGGGTTTTACTCGTGTGTGGTGGATCCAGTCACTCTGCCCTGGAACTTTCACAGCAGTGGCGTAGAGAGAATTACTGGCAAAGGTCCCTTCCAAACTGGCTGGAGTTGGGAATTAGGGGACCCGTCCTTCCAAGTTTTTATAAGAACTAGATCTCCTGGCTGACACAAGGGTGGTAACTTTTCCTCCCCTTGGGTCTGAGTGAGCCCAAACTGATGGAATGCATCCTGACATTGGGCTACTTGGGTGGCATATTGCTGTATCAAGGCTACCTCAGAGTCTGTAGCTGGCTCTATTATAAGAAAAGGCCACCGTATAAAACTTCATAAGGGCTCAAACACGTAGATTGCCATGGGACTATCCTAAGACGTAGCAGAGCTATGGGTAGTGCATCTTTCCAGCTCATCTGAGTTTCTTGTGTCAGCTTTCTGAGGGTTAACTTCAGGTGTTGATTAATTCTCTCTACCTGCCCTGAAGACTGAGGCCTCCTGGCACAGTGGAGACGATAGGTTATTCCCAAGTGTTGGGAGACTGCCTGAGTGATTTGGGAGATGAAAGCAGGCCCATTATCACTCTGCAGTGATTTGGGAAGCCCAAATAGAGGAATTATTTCCTGAAGTAGTTTTTTTTTTTAGCCACTTCATGAGCCTTCTCAGTGCGGGTGGGATATGCTTCAGTCCACCCAGTGAAGGTGTCTATAAACACCAGAAGATACTTAAATCCCTGGACAACAGGAACCTGGGTAAAATCCATCTGCCAGTCTTCCCCAGGGTAGGATCCCTTGCGCTGGACAGGTTGAGCAAGGTGACTTCTGAGCGCCCCTTGGGAAAATCTTTACAGGGGTAGCATACTTAGCTTTGCCAGGTACTTTTGTGTCCCAAATTTCAGGAGTTATGGCCTGTTGCCACGGTCCTGTTGGGGAATCTGAGGCTCCTCCACTGTGAGGAACAATTGGAAAGCTGTAGAGGGACGAGGATGAGGCCCAATGACTATGCAAGTGTGTAGCTTGGACAGTATGTCTCAGTGTAGGAGAGGAGCTGGACATTCAGGGATTACTAGGAAGCTATGAGAAAAATAGAAGTTATCCCAAAGACATCTGAGAGATTCAGTAATATGTTTAACTACAGGTTTTCCTGACACTCCCAGGATGGAGCCAGTGCGAGGTGCCAGGGGTCCAGGGAATGAATTAAGGACAAAGAAGGTGGCCCCAGTATCTAAAAGGAAGTTCACTGACCTTCCTGCCATGTCAATGCCCACCCTAGGTTCCAGACCAGTAACAGTTATCTCTTGTTGCTGGGCTGTCTGGACCGGGCGCCTTCAATCCTCCTCCTCCGTTATCAGCTGCACATTGGCCTGTGGGCACCTCCTCTCCAGGTTTTGGGCCTTAGGACAGAGGCCAGCCCAGTGGCCAGTCTGCTTGCATTGGACACATGGCGTCCGAGGAGGCTTGTTCCGGTTAGGGCAATTCCTAGCCCGATGACCCGGTCGCTGGCAAATGTAGCATTTGGTACCTGGTCTAAAGGTCTGAGAAACCTGGGAGTCATTTGACAGGCATCGGTTATCCAGTGCAGCCAGATCGACCCCATTGACTGAATTGAATTCACCTGGCCTAGGTGGGCCAATTCAGGTTCACACCCACCCATGCCTACTGGCAGGATGAGCCTCTGTTCCTGTAGCTTGGCCCTCTGAGCATGCATTTGTGGACATTCCCCAGCCCTACACTAGCCTACCTAACACTACCTGGAAGGTCAGTGGTTTGAACTTAGCAGCCATTCTGTGGGAAATGGATGTGGCAGTCTGCTTTCGCAAAGGTTTACAGCTACAGAATCAGTTCTTTCCTTTAGACTCACTGATTCAGAATCCACTCGCCAGGTTGTATGTTGAATTTTTACACCTGAAAAATAAATTTTTCTTCCCTGCTCTCCCTTGATCACTTACTAGCTTAGAAGGAAAACAAAGAATGCAAAACGGCCTATAAAGATATATGGGAGAAGTGACTCAACCTTCCCCAACATCCTCATTATAGCTGAATGCCTACAAAATCTCAATTTCATTGTCTTCATGCATTAAAACAAGCAATAGTTCCCTACATTCTTCATTCACTTCAACCAAGAATTCTTTTATTTTTCATTCTGCTCCAACAATGAAATAGTTATGTTTTTAAAATGAATCATCATATTTGATTATTCCTTACTTTCACAGATATCCCTTTGTGAGGTTAAAGGGAGAGGGGTTCTCCACAAATCACAGGTCTGGTAGGCGCAGTTGTACAGCGATAATAAGTAAAGGTTATAGTAAAGTCATAGAGAGCATGAGAGTTAAAAGATAGAGTTAAGTAATGGAGTCAGACACAATTCATGGTAGCATTGCTCACCTCAGCCCCCCTTGGTGGTCCACGTGGAGGGAGAAACTTTAATGCTTCTCCAGCTTTTATCCTCTGGGGACGTGCAAGCCCCCTAATTACAGGTGAAGACATACATCACAGGAAGGGGTTGTACAATAGACATACACATTGTAGGAAGGGGATCTATGATAGGCATAAGCATAACAGGAAGGGGATGACCTAGGGGTATGCCCATAGGAATGGGAAGGTCTAGGGTTATACATGTGACAAGATGGGCAAACCCTAGATTCATGATGGCAACCTAACCTTGGTCTTCCTTGGGCGGGTTTGACCTCTCTGGTGTCTACTACAAGGAAACAGACAACTACTATCCATATCAGAAGGGAGTGGGCCCAACTTGTGGGATAAACAGTGGTGTCTGCTTGATCTAGATGGCTGATTGCTCTTAGGGAAAATGACCCATAATCTACTCCTGATGACCTCCAAGTGTATAGTCATTCTCAAGCAGCTAAGTCTGGCATATATTTGGGGGAGACAGCTTGAGCGAAATCCTTATTTCCCACATCCTTTAAGCATTTAAAATGTGCCAGGAACTGGCTCACTATGTAACAGAGAGATGCCTATGTACTCTGGGTCAGGTTAACAGTTGGCTTGGAGCTATTTTTATGGTCTTTCTTTTCTTTTTTAAAATTTCTTTTGGTGTCTATCTATATAAGATAGACAGGATAAGCAATCCCAAAGAGACAGCTAAGGGACCGATGGCTGAGGGGGGGTTTGGCGGAGAGCAGGGGTAGGTGAGCAGTGATCCAATAATGACAGGGACAGGGGGATAGCAAGGATTCTAAAAATAAAGGTGAGGCGGATGTAGTGTTCTTGGTTGTGTTTGATCAATTGAAATGTATCCAAGAGGAATTACTGAGAGGTGACGATGGGTAAACATGATTGTGGGGCAGGAAGAAAGAAGAAGAAAAAGCAGAAAGAAGAAGAAAGTAAAAATTATATCTATATGTATAAATATAGGTTTGAAAAATATATAAATATAGGTATATTTGTTTATATATGTAAATACAACAAGGAAGCAGAAGAACTTTGGGCCTCTACTTAAATGTTACCTCAGTACAAGAAGATTTGTTCTGATAATGTGGCACTGTAATATACTCACATTTCTAATATGATCACTGAAGACAAAATGGGTGCATAAGCAAAAGTGGTGAAGAAAGCTGATGGTGTCCAGCTATTAAAAGATATAGTGTCTGTAGTCTTAAAGGCTTGAAGTTAAATAAGTGACCATCCAGAAGGGAAACAGCAAGGCCCACGTGGAAGAAGCACACCAGCCTGTGTGATCATGAGGTGTTGAAAGGATCAGGAGTCAGAAGCTCAAAAGCAAGCAAGCAAACTGACGTGAAGTAACAAGGACAAAGTGGTGACCCAAAACCCACCTGTAAGATAATTGGACAGTCCCTTCTAGAAGAGCCACATGGAAGGGATGATAAATTTAGGGAGTGGTATAGCACTGATGAAACACATAATTATCCCTCTAGTTCTTTAATATTTCTTCCCCTTACTATTTTTTAAAATACTTTTATTGGGCACTTTTACATCTCTTATCACAATCCATACATTCATCCAGTGTGTCATGCACATTTGTACATATTCCACCATCATTTTCAAAGGATTCTCTTACCACGTGAGCCCCTGATATCAGCTACTCATTTCCCTTACTATTATGGTCTTTGTTTTACCTCATTAATCTTCTTAGGCCTGCATATGTTTATCTGTATAATTAAAGAGGGTTCTATGAATTAAAGCCAACATAGATAACCCCTTCAGAAACAGTAATTGGAGTAATGATTCCCTGAGGGTATGGGAAGAGAGGGGAGGGAAGGGGGAAAGGGAGCTGATAGCAATGATGACTGTATAACCCCATTCAGAGGAACAAGTAACAGAATTGCAGGTGAACAGATACATTAGGTAGTGTAAGATACAGCAAATAATAATAATATATAATAAGAGTTCTTGGTTGGTAGGGTAGGGAGAGAAGAGATAAAGAGGAGCTGATATCAAAGCATTCAAGAAAGAAAATGTTTGAAACTGATGGTAGCAATTGTAAAATTATGCTTGATCTAACTGAATTAATGGATTGTTATAATATCTGTAAGAGCTCCCAATAAAATTATTAATAAAATAAATAAATAAATAAAATGTGCCAGACACTGCTTTAGGGACTGGAGGTACAACAATGAGCTTATATCCTAGTGAGGAACACAAACAGTAAATAAGTTTATAAAATACTAAATTTGAGTATATACCAAATTTTCAGGTAGTGTTAAACTATAAAGAAATAAAACTGGATATGGGATAAATTTTGGTGGTAGTTTTCTTAGAAAGGATGGGTAGAAAACGCCTCTGATGTACACTGGTACAGTTAGGAACTGGAAACATGGAGAATCCAGGACAGATGATCCCTTCAGGACCAGTAGTGAGAGTGGTGATACCGGGAGGGTAGAGAGAAGGTGGGGTAGAAAGGGGGAACAGATTACAAGGATCTACATATAACCTCCTCCCTGGGGGACAACAGAAAAGTGGGTGAAGGGAGACACTGGACAGTGTAAGATATGAAAAATAATAATTTATAAATGATCAAGGCTTCATGAGGGAGGGGGGAACGGGGGCAGGGCGCGGAATGAGCTGACACCAAGGTCTCAAGTAGAAAGCAAATGTTTAGAGAATGATGATGGCAACAAATGTACAAATGTGCTTGATACCATCGATATATGTATGGATTGTAATGAGTTGTATGAGCCCCCAATAAAATGATTTTTTTTTAAAGAATAGGCCCCAAACAGTAAAAGTAATTTTAAAGAACAAAGTAGAAGGCCTCAAATGTCCCTTTATCAAAACATACTTTACAGCTACAGTAAGCAAAACAGCCTGAGACTGATTTAACGATAGACACATACATCAATGAAATAGAATTGAAAGTCCAGAAATAAAACCATACATCTGTTGTCAATTGAAAAAAACAAAAGAAAGAAAACACCTCTTCATGGATCTTTAGAAAGTGATGAAATCTCATTGTTCAGATGATGTAGCAACGATGAAAAATACAACTTTCTTCTAGTTTCTAAATATTTCTTCCCCACTCCCACTATCATGATACGAATTCTACCTTGCAAGTCTGGCTAGACCAGAGGATGTACACTGGTACAGATAGGAACTGGAAATACAGGGAATCCTGGGCGGATGATCCCTTCAGGACCAGTGGTGTGAGTGGCGATACTGGGAGGGTAGAGGGAGAGTGGGTTGGAATGAGGGAATCGATTACAAGGAAGTATATGTGACCTCCTCCCTGGGGGACGGACAACAGAAAAGTGGGTGAAGGGAGGCGTCAGACAGGGCAAGAGATGACAAAATAATTTATAAATTATCAAGGGCTCATGAGGGAGGAGGGAGGGGAAAAATGAGGACCTAATGCTGGGGGTTTAAGTGGAGAGGAAATGTTTTGAGAATGATGAGGGCAATGTACAAATGTGCTTTACACAATTGATGTATGTATGGATTGTGATAAGAGTTGTATGAGCCCCTAATAAAATGATTTTTTTTTAATTTTTTTAAAAGAAAGAAATCTCATTGTTCATTTTAAAGATCCCTCTGGCTATTGGCTCTGTATTTCATAAAATGTGGACAATCAAGAATCAGAGTAGAGACAGTGAGAAGCTGTTGAAGAAGTACAAATGAACAATTTTGGTGGCTTAGAGTGGTAGTGATGGGAGGCCATCACTAGTGGTGCCGTCGTATTAGGACTGTATTTTGAAGGAAACTGAAAAAAAAAACCCTGTTCATGGACTGAAGGTGGATCTGAGCAAGCAAGATGATTCAAGAATAAATCCTGAGACTTTGGTGAGCAGCTGAGTAAATATGATATGAAGAAAGACAAAAAATCATAGATAGCTCCTAGGATTTGGTGGTCGGCTTGATGGTAATGCCATTTACCAATGTAGAGAAGATTGTGTGATCGAGGGTAGAATTCATTTGTTTTGATTTGATCAGTTAAGTTTGTTTATGAAACACCCAAGTCTAAATGTTGAGTAGACATATAAATTAAAAACATAAGATGGAAATGGGAGATTACTAAACTAGAAACATAAAATTCTGGAATATCAATATTATAGATGCTATTTAAAATCATAAGGAGTAAATAAAAAATGTTCTAGGGTATACGGGTGACTAGAGAAGAGAATGGAAAAATAAGCCCTGGTTGGACTGGGAAAAGAAAGAAGAATCAGCCAGAAAAAGAACTTAGGTAGAAAGTCAGTTTGGGAGGAATATGCTACCCAGGGAAACAGCTACAGAAAGTGACTTAAGAAGAAAAGTGTGATCAAGTGCATCAAATATTGTGAGAGGTTAAGAAAGATGAGAATTGAGACGGACAACAGAAAAGTGGGTGAAGGGAGGCGTCAGACAGGGCAACAGATGACAAAATAATTTATAAATTATCAAGGGCTCATGAGGGAGGAGGGAGGGGAAAATAACTTTGTTATTGGGTTTGCCAAGGTGAAAATTATTGATAGCCTTGAGAAGAAAAAAGAACCCTTTCAGTAAAGTGATAGGATTGAAATCCCGTTTGGAACAAATGGAGGAGAAAATGAGAAAGGCAGGGTTAGAGGTAGCAAGCACAATAAAGTGTCTGTGGATTTTGCCCAAAATAGAAACAGAAAGATAGGCTAGTAGATAAAGACAAGGCCATGTGTTTACTTGGTCTATGTTTAAGGAGAAATTGCTATAGGAGAGAGTGGCTACTTAAAGGAAGAGCAGTCCACAGTAGATAAGGCTGTAATCCAGTATGTATGAGTCACCACAGAGTCCTCTCACCTTCCCCCATTAAATTTCCAAGTAGATCACCAAGGTGCATGCTCCCACCATTAGAAATGTTCCATTTGGTCAAAGCACCTCCAGATCATCTGTTAAAATGCAGTCATTTTATTAGAAAACGTTGTTTTTTTTTTTGGCATTCTCTGAGTCTTTATATATTTCCCTTATTGTACTTTGGTAGTATACCATGGTTTTCAATAGAAAGATTATGATCAAAAGGTTATTTGCATAAAATTTTATACTTATTTGAAAGAATTGTTTAGAATATTGCCCAATAAATCACTCCTAAATTTCCCTTTATGAAAACCCATAAAAATTATCTTCTAAGTATTTTTTTTTTAACTTTAAAAAGATTTTATTCTGCCACCTTGAGAGTTGTCCAGATATATAACAGGTATCAACTTTCTTTTTAAACAATTTAGAGACAATTTAAGATATATGGGTTTTTAAGGGCCTTCTGAACTTTTTAGGTATGATTTTTTTTTAATCATTTTATTGGGGGCTCCTCGTACAATTCTTATCACAATCTTAATGTAAGGAAAAATTGTCTTGCTCCTGCATGATTTTGTTTTAATCTGTGGATACCAATACTTGATTGTGTTCCCCTTTTTGGCATCTCGGAAGTTCAGGGTAAATTTGTGGCCTTTATCACAAGAGTTAGGGGAAACTGAAAGTCTTTCTGTCTCTTTCTCTCTTTTAGGAAATTACCAAGCTTCTGCCTTTCCATAGAATTTTTTTGGATCGACTAGAAGAAAATGAAGCCATAGACCAGGACCTGCAGGCGTATATTCTGCACCGGATACACAGCAGCTCAGAGATCCAGAATAACATTTCCCTTAATGGCAAAATGGATAACACCACATTTGGCAAACTAAGTTCTCATCTCAAGACTCTCAGTCAAGGGTCCTACCTATACCTGAAACTCACATTTGACCTCATAGAGAAAGGTTATCTAGTGTTAAAGAGTTCAAGCTACAAAGTAGTTCCTGTGTCACTCTCGGAGGTGTATTTGCTCCAGTGCAATATGAAGTTCCCAACCCAGTCTTCCTTTGACAGGGTGATGCCTCTCCTGAATGTGGCAGTGGCCTCTCTGCACCCACTGACTGATGAACACATCTTCCAGGCCATCAATGCTGGTAGCGTTGAAGGCACGCTCGAGTGGGAGGATTTTCAGCAGAGAATGGAAAACCTCTCCATGTTTCTAATTAAGCGCAGAGACATGACACGCATGTTTGTACACCCTTCTTTTCGAGAATGGCTTATCTGGAGAGAAGAAGGAGAAAAAACCAAATTTCTCTGTGATCCCAGGTAAGCCACAGATCTGTAAAAGCACTTCTGAGCATATTTTGTACTTATGGGTGGATATTGAACACTTCATTGAACACATAGAGTAAACTTCCTCTCTCTTCTCGAGACTATAATGAACTTAGCGAATTTCCTTACATTACTCTTTCTTTAAGGCTAGATCTGTGCTGCTTTTTATAATGCTTCCTTACGTACATACATACAGTGTAGCGTGTTACATGTTGGGCTGCTAACTACAGTGTTGGCAGGTCAAAACGACCAACTGTTGGTGAGAGAAACCAACAATGGGAGAAAGATGAGGCTTTCTACTCCTGTTAAGGAGTAAGCACCTCAAAAACTCACAAGGGAGCTCCACCCTGTCCTATAGGGTCACTGTGAATTGGAATTGACTCAATGGAAATGAGTTTGTTTTGTTTTTGTGTTTTGTTTGTTTTATAATGTTATTTCATTGAGACTCTAGATCTGTGTAGATATTTAGAATGCTTCCTTACATGCCTACATTTTCCCATATATTTTTTTCTAATCCTGCTAGAGACCACAGACTATAATTAGCCATGTAATAACTACGACCCATGTTCTTCAGATAGGAAGAAATAATTGAGATATATTTCTTTGACTCATTTAAAATCATTTGAAAATTGGGATTGCCCTTTAAGAATGTACCACCTTTGGCCACCAATAAAGAACCTCATTAAATCCAGCCAGTGCTATGGGCTGCAGTGGGAAATTCACTCTGAAACTTCTTTGTTGAAGAGATTCAGCCTTTTAATAAATATGTCATTATCCCCTTTTTACTGTAAAGGCATTAAGATGCCAAATCACTTACCCAAAGCCATAAAGTGAATAGATAGAGCAAGGAAGAAGAGCCAAAGTAGAGTTGGCAAATACAAAAGTACTTCACAGAATGCATGCAAATACTCCCTGATCTTGTCATTTCATTTTCCATGAAGTTTCTGAAGCCCCTCATGTATGGTATATACCCACCACTCCCACATCACATACCCATGACAGACTGATCTATTGTAGCTCTCTTTCCCAGTCACCTTAACCATGACTTGAGAATCTGTATGGAATTATTCTTTTGGATGTAACATTGTTCTATGGTATCTTAGCCTACTAATGTGCTTTCTACTTCTGAACTTTACCGTTTAAAATAATTATTCCTTTAGTAAATTTGGTGCTTCCAAGAGTAAATAGGTTCTTGGAAACAAAGAAGATACCAAGAGCACACGCTCACAAATACAAGCTTATCTGGCTCAAAAAGAAGATCAGCCAAGTTGGGCTGTGTCATATTCAGGGACTCGTGCTGTGATGTTAGTCCCCTGTGGCCATCTTCGCCAGCCTTGTTGGAGACAACTCTGCCACTTAGCCTGCCTCACACTGACGCATTAGAAAATTAGCTCCAGGCTCTCATAAAGAGATAAGTCAGGCAGTAGCTTCATGGTATTTTCCCTGAAAGGATAACTTTTCTGAAGAAGCATACTATAGTGGAAAGAACATGAGTGAGAGTACCTGTATATAGACCTTACTTCTTGTAACACGTAAATTGTGACTTTTGGAAAGTTATCTAACGTTCCTGAGATGTGGTTTTCTTATCTCCATAAAGAGAAAAATAATGCCTTCTTCCCAGAGTTGAAAATTAAGTGAAGTTGGATAGTGTAATACCTAAAGCAATATAGAGTACATATAGAAATATTGGGGAGTGCTTGTTTTGAACACTCTATTTACAAAAATAGATCCTTTCAGTATACCTTAATTGAACCCCATGAATAATTGGATAGGGTAGCAACAGTCCTTTGTTACTAGCTTTTTTGGTCACAAGATTCAAAACTCAATGCCATTGATTCAGTTCTGACTCATAGCAACTCTACAAGAAGAGTATAACTGCCCTGTAGGTTTCTGAGACTAAATCTTATTTTTAAAGCATTTTCTTAGGGGCTCGTACAATTCTTACCATAATCCATATATACATCCATTGTGTCAAGCGCATTTGTACCTTTGTTGCCATCATCATTCTCAAAACATCTTCTTTCTACTTGAGCCCTTGGTATCAGCAACCCGTTTTTCCCTCTTTTTCTCCCACCCTCCCTCCCTCAAACCTTGATAATTTATAAATTATTATTATTTTGTCATATCTTACACTGCCCAACGTCTCCCTTCACCCACTTTTCTGTTGTCCGCCCCCCAGGGAGAGGGTTCTATGGAGATCCGTGTGATCAGTTCTTCCTTTCTACCCCACCTTCCCTCCACCCACCCAGTATCGCCACTCTCACCACTGGTCCTGAGGGGTTCATCTGTCCTGGATTCCCTGTATTTCCAGTTCTTATCTGTACCAGTGTACGTTCTCTGATCTAGCTGGTTTTGTAAGGTAGAATTGGGATCATGATAGTGGTGGGAGAGGAAGCATTAGAGAACTAGAGGAAAGTTGTATGTTTCATCATTGGTACACTACCCCCTGACTGGCTCCTCTCCTCCCTACTACCCTTCTGTAAGGGGATGTCTAGTTGCCTACAGATGGGCTTTGGGTCCTGTGTTAGACAGGGTTCTCTAAAGAGACAAAACCAGGATACTAATAATTTTATATATATATTTATATAGATCAATAGATAACATAAGAAATAAACAGTTAACTAATCTATAAAGCAGTACAAATGGCTCAGTACAACTCACTCCCGTGAGACAGCTAGTACACCAGCAGTCCTTCAAGTCTTGGGGGCCACGGGGTAGTCCTCTGTGGAGCAATTCAAGCTATCCGGCCACAGGCAGCAAACAGCAAGCAGGTCACAGGAATCAGCCAGATGACAGGGTCCAACAGTCCTCAGCTCAAGAGATGTACCTTCCAGTAGCGTGGCGAGGCAAGTCTTGAAGGAACCTCTAGTTACAGTGACACAGTCCATGGGTAGGTGTCCCACAGATAGTGTAGCTTGCAAATGGAGGCGCAGAACAAGCAAAGCAGCCGCACACTTGTCCGATGATCAAAGAGCAAGAGAGAGAGGAAAGGCTCCCTGAGCTATTTATCTCTCCGCCCTTCAACCAATCCCACAGGTGTTCACTGGCCATGTTGGCACTACAAACCTACCTATCACAGGTCCCCACTCCGCACTCCCCCTCATTTAAATGATCTGATTTTTTGTTCTTTGATGCCTGATACCTGATCCCATCGATACCTCATGATCACACAGGCTGTTGTGCTTCCTCCATGTGGGCTTTGTTGCTTCTCAACTAGATGGTCCCTTGTTTATCTTCAAGCCTTTAAGACGCCAGACACTATACCTTTTGATATCCGGGCATCATCAGCTTTCTTCATCACATTTGCTTATGCACCCGCTTTGTCTTCAGCAATCGTGTCAGAAAGGTGAGCATCATGGAATGCCAGTTTAATAGAACAAAGTGTTCTTGCATTGGAGGAGTACTTGAGTGGAGGCCCATTGTCCATCTGCTACCTTAATACTAAACCTATAAATATATGCACATAGATCTATTTCCCCATCATCATATAAAAATATATTTACATATGTACATGGCCATATTTAGACCTCTATAAATGCCCTTTGCCTTCCTCTATTTCCTTTTACTTTCCTCTTGTCCCACTATCATGCTCAGCCTTCATTTGAGTTTCAGTAATTCCTCTAAGTTACATTGCCCTTGATCAAGCCCTACCAGGTCTCCTACACCCTCCTTGCCACCAATTTTGGATCACTTGTTCACTTGTCCTTGGGAACACTTCCTTTTCCCCGCCTCCCCCTCTCCCATGTCCCCCCAGAACCATTGGTTCAGTTGTTTTCTCCTCCAGATTGTTTATCCCAGCTATCTTATCTAGATAGACCTGCAGAGATAATAATATGCACAAAAACAAGACAGAGCAAAACAAAGCAACAAAACAACAACAAAACCAGTGACAAAAAAGAAAAGCCTGTAAATAGTTCAAGGTCTGTTTGTTGACCTTTAGGAGTGTTTTTTTCCAGTTGAGTCTGATAGGGTGCCATGCCCTGACCCCAAAGTCTATTTTTGGTATTCCCTTGGGACTTCCTTGCTCTGCTCCCCCTTGTTAGTATTTTGCTTTGGTGTGGTGGGATCAGATCGGGTGCAATTCCCACACTGTGCTGTAACTAAATGTTTACTGGAGTAGAAAGCTTCATCTTTCTCCCATGGAGCAGCTGGTGATTTTGAACTGCTGACCTTGTGGATAGCAGCCCAACACTTAATCCATTTTGCCAGCAGGGCACTTCTAATTAGACAGTAGCAGTCTTTGCTATTAGCATTTAGAGGCATGAGCTTCAAAACTAGACAAAAATTAATCTGAATTTCTTATATGATTTGTATGGTATTCCCAAGAGGATTTCACAATCAATCCCACTAGTATTGCTCTTCATGAATAAAGACATAATTGGCAGTTAGGTATTTAAGAAATAAAGACCAGTCTAGCATTGCCTAATAAACACTTTGAGATCAGGTCAAAGAAGGCTTTGCTAGCTAACTGCCTTCCCATCCTGAGACATCTTGGAGGCTTCAGGACCACCAGACTACCACTAAATTAACAGTGTCCAATAAATGAAACCTTCAGATGCTCTCAAAAGAGAAAATACAAGTATATCATTTATGAAGCCATAACATGGCTCTCTGGGCTCACTTCTCAACATCATGTATTAACTAGAAGCATTGCATTTGCAATGGACTGAGGCACTGGAACAAGAAGAACAAACACTTCAAATGCAGTATAGTTTGTTCCCTGCAATTGAATAGCACTCATGGCTGAAGGATCATCATATTACACTTAATGACAGAGAATAAAATTATAAATAGCATAAGGGGTTATCCTAAAAGGTTCTTTAGATTTTGTTTCTAGTGGAATTAAGCCTCTTATCTAACCTGGTACCAACCTGGTCACTAAAGTTATTGGGACTCCATTTGTCAATGAGATGGAAATTCACTTAAAATTTAATGCAATTGCCAAAGCCCAAGCTGGCCTTTCAAAGAAATGGGCTACAGTGTTTTCCATTTCA